CCCCCCCCCCCCCCGCTCCCCGCCTGTGCAGCTGATCAAGACCACTCGGCCGGGCCTGCGGCTTGCACCCCCGCCCGACCTCACCCCCAAGCTGAAGCCGGCCTACTTGGAGATACTGGCGCTGGGCATCCGCGGAATGCAGCCGTTCGAGATGCTTCCGATGCAGATGCCCTACATGCATATGGAGGCAAGTGTGGAGCTGCGAGCGATGTGTTGCATTCTGACTTCCTCCAGACTTTGTTGGAGTACTGGAAGAAGTTGTGCGTGTTGTGTCGCGCTCTCTCGTGTGTTTTTTTTTTTTTTGCTTTTTTGGACCAAACACTCTTGAAACCCGCAGCTGCAGTGCTGTCCTCGAAAGATGACAGTATTTGCTTGTCTTCTAATCGCCATTGATCTGTCTACCCTAGTGTCCGAGCGAGGATTATAGCATGGTCGAGGTTGGGTTTCTATTTCTCAAAGCATCTATGTCCCTCTTCATCTCTCTTCTTTCCCTCTTGTCCTTCCTAGCTCCGCTGAACCATGTCCACCTGGTTAAGCTGCCGCTAGCTTTAGACGTGTGCGTATCACCCACTGACCAACAACAGGAGCAACAACAACAAAACAACACAACCATGTCCCAACAACACCTACAACAATAACAATGGTACAGGTTGATCTACCGCATGGGAAGAAGGTCTCCCTGACCACGAACCCTTCCAAGAAGCCGACGGGGGCGGACGCCAACTTCTTGGAACGGCTGAAGGTGCCGCTCGACCTGCCCGTCAATGACATCTTTGCCCCTAGGCTCAAGCTGTGCGTGCGCGACGTGCGACTCGGCGGGTGAGTACCACAAGAGGGCACGTGGATTCAAATACGTGAAGCACACTCCAAAACTGGATCAAGGACCAAATCCCGGGGAGGGGTGGGTGGGCGGGGGGTCTGTTATATACCGTATACATAGATATATGTAGGAAATAGTGTGGTATAGTATAACCTATACATTTTCTATTGTATAGTATTTAGTAACATATGGCTATTCGAAACCTTACACCCCTACTCTTACAATATGTACTTGTTGAAGTACAGGTTAAGACCACTCACTTGTGTGTTGTGGGTATTGTTCATGTAGATTTAGACTAGTCCATGTAGTAAAGCCTACGATATATATGATGCTGGTGCTGCTGTGAACCCTTTCTTCTCTGTAAAAGGAACAGCAGGCCGGGTGCGTGCTTGCTGTCACCCTTCCTTGCTGTTGAAGGAGGAGCACATTGCTGCTGCTAAAAGGGGCTATACAAAGCAAGGTCCAGGATTTGTTGTGGTCATATTCACCTCTCAATTAGACTATATGGGTTTTTATTATTTCACACTAAAGCGTATATATTATGGAATATATAGGCTTTATGTAACGATTCTAATTCCTATACTATAAACGCCTCGACCAAACTGGATAAAGCGCCTGAAAAATGGGAGGGGGGGGTGCTTCACGTGTTGGAATCCACGTGCCCTCTTGAGTACCGGTGGGGGGAGGTTCCTGGATGGGATAGGAGGGGGGTAGCGGTGTGGAGGGAGGGGGGACTGGGNAGGCTTTATGTAACGATTCTAATTCCTATACTATAAACGCCTCGACCAAACTGGATAAAGCGCCTGAAAAATGGGAGGGGGGGGTGCTTCACGTGTTGGAATCCACGTGCCCTCTTGAGTACCGGTGGGGGGAGGTTCCTGGATGGGATAGGAGGGGGGTAGCGGTGTGGAGGGAGGGGGAACTGGGTGGGATAGAAGGGAGGAATGCCGCGCTAGTTACTTCCTTTGCTTGCCGTCGTCAGCTTGACGTCTCTCGCGGGCGCAGCAGCGGGGGCGCAAGTGATGGCGACAGCAGTTCTTCGTTTCTTGTGGCGGCAGAGACCACCGATGCATGTATCGCTGGGGTTGGTGAGCGTCCACCTCTCATGAGAGATGAGAGGAAGCAACCAATCGTTATGTCTCGGGTTGCTATCAACGTTTCTGTTTTCCTGGCCGGGAAAGGGACGGGGGGGCGCTGTTGTTGCTATTACGTAGCGTGAGCTAATGGCGTGCCACCTGGCCATGCCGCTTGCCATGGCTGCTGGCGCGCTTCATTTGGCAAGCATAACGCTTGAAACGTTTTGCTTTCAAACATGCAGTTGGTTCTTTCGACCACTAGTCTCTTGGTGGTTCCTACGAACGCCTTCTTTAGCGGAACAGCCAGATCATGGCGGTGGGTGGGTGGGTGCGAGGAAAGCACGAAATGGCCACACGCTTCGTAGCATGCAACTCCCCCATGTCTTCCACTGACCAACATTTCGGCACATGCACGCCCACGCGTATGGCGGCGATCCTCAAGAAAAAAACGTTTGCATACGTACGTACGTATACCAAGCACGCATGCATGAGTGACCTAACTTGTCGTGCTGTGTGAAGGTTTTTGACCCATCTGTACGTACACCAAGCACGCATACACTTGTAACCCTACCCTATGTACCTGCCTGTCCTGTTGTGTAAAGGTTTTTGACCCCCACCGTCGCGGTGGGGGCCGTCAGCCTGGCCCACAAGCTCCCGTGGTCCACCAAGTACGAGGCCCACAGCTCCAGGCGAGTCGGTGCGATTGACCTCATGCACGCCACGGGGGCCCCGGTGTTCGAGGGCATGTTCGACCAGAGGCAGGGGGCGGAGGCGCAAGCCACCACCCGCGCAGCGACCGGCGGCGGCGCTGCCGAGGGTACCGGAGCGGTGTCCCCGTCCGGGGTACCCCCGTCGCGCGCTGCCGCGGACCCCCCGTCCGGCGGCGGCGGCGGCGGCGGCGGCGGCGGCGGCGGCGGCGCAACGAACGGCTTCGTTCCCAACGGCGGCAGCGGTAGTGGCGGTGGGCGTCGCATGGAAGGCGCCGGAGGAGCTCTCGGAGCCTCGTGGGGGGAGGACAGCAGCGGCCCCGTTAACGACATGGTGAACCCGATGGTCGGGGCTGGGAAGGGCAACGGTAGGGGCAGGAAGACGGCGGCGGTCGGCGGCGGCGGCGGCGGCGGCGACGGCGGGGTTGAGGTTGAGGTTGAGGTGCCGGCCCCCGAGGCCGGCATAGTAGAGGTGATGGGGCAGGAGGACGAGGGCGCGGGGGTGTTTGGAGCCATTCTGCACGAGCCAGGTTAGTGCGTGGGTGATGTTGGCGTCATGATACTGCCAAGCACTGCCTGTTTGCTTCGTTCCTCCGTTGTTTTTATTCCATTGGTTAACAAATTAACAGTGGTCGATGTGCGGTGTTGGTGGTCCTAGCTCTACTGCGTTCTACTGCCTTTGCCGCCTGCTGTGTTTTTTGTCTGGTGCATCTTGTGGCTTGTTGTGAGGAAAGTCATCTGGCTCAAACCCTTTGTTCTCTTCCGCTCCATGTTGTCCTCCTCCACCATCGCCTTCATTCTCCTTCCTATCCCTTCCCTTTCCCTTCCCTTCATCTCCGTCACCCCCGAAATAATAACCCTCACTACCATCGTTACATACCGCTTTGACCAGAAGTACTACTAAAGTCCCAACCTATTGGCCGTGGTGAAAATTGGTCCATCAGTAATCCATGGCGCTTGAAAACATGACGAGTTCGTACCGACAGAAAAGGAGCCAGCTCGAACGTAAACCATCTCCGAATTCCGTTTATAGGTGAGCCTTGAGGCGAAGCAAGGCTGCCTTATCGTCGAAATCCCCCCTTCAAAATGTTTCGTAAGCCAAACGGTTTGGGCGATATCTACGATCACTACTCCATTGGTGCCTTGGCCAAGACCACCACACGTTGAAAAGGCAACCGTACGGAGGGTACATCTAGGCGGGTTGAAAGTTCCCGCATAGTGTGTGTGTGTGCGCGTTTGTCTTTCGCGATTCCAGGCCGGGCGGCAGATTTTGAACCCTTTGATTCCTCCCAACGCAATGGCCGCACTTCGCAGTGGTGCGTGAGAGGGTGTGGTCCGCAGCTAGGAGGGCTAGGGGGGCCAAGGGCGCTGACGAGGACGAAGACGATGGTGAGTACTACCGCTGTATGCGTACAACCACAGCAGCCCATCAAAGACCAAAAAGGGCTATGTAAAACTGCATTCCACGATTGATGTCCACATGGTGTTAAGTAGTAATCTACCACACTTTTTTAGCTGTTTGCACCCTCTGTTTTCTAGCAGCACCCTGCGCATTTTGTACCGAACCTGATGATCATAACCGACCGTAGTTCTAGCCGTGCGCGCGTTGTGTATTTGTTCGTTTGTGTTCGGTACGTGATAGTGTATCCCTAGAGGCTGTGACCTCCCCAGATCGCCTTTTTGCCGGGGGCACTTTCGGGAGTCTTGCTTTTGCTCTGGATTCGCCTAGCCCTTTCATGCACCCCGCCTACCGTCCTGCAACATAGTGTCGAACGATGCTTGTCGCCGGATCCGTTCCTGAGAAATAAACGAGGAAGGAATGGCCAGGCGTTGTCGCGTTTGGCGAAAACTAACCGAAGGAGCGGACGAAGGATGTTTGCAACGGAGACAAATGTACACATGTGGTGGTTGAATGATTTTGTATCGTGCTGTCGTGCGAGAAGGAGTTCCTTGTTTTTTCCGGCGGCGTCATCACCTACAGTAACGACGAAAATGACGAGATACCTACCTCATCCTTGAGCCCTGCGAAACCCCTGTCACACAAACCACACTTACAGCCCTGGGTCCCACCCCTTCCCCAAACCCTTGCTGTTCTTTCTTACATACGGTGGGCGTTACTAGTTAAGGGTTTCTTATGCTCGCTTTGATGCCGGACCGTCTGCAGGGCCTCTCACCAAGAAGCGCAAGGTGCTAGACGTCCGGCCTACCGAGCACGGAAGTGCGCTTACCCTAGGTATAGCCCAGACCCTAACTACCCACCTCTTTTTCTGTACTCTGCCTACAACAAAAACAACGTGTGCAGGGCCTCCCAAGTACATGGTCGGGAGGAGAACCACGGAGGCTGAGCTCGAGAGGGAGTTGGCGACGAAGCCCTTCGAGACCTACGAGCTTTTCCGGGGCCAGAGGTTCGGCAGGGGCGGAGATACGGGGGACTACCGCGAGGTCGGGAGGTTCAAGGTGTGTAACTGGAGGGGGGGGGGAGGGCGAAGGGCGGGTCGGTTTTGTAGCATGTGCTTTGGGGGGGAGTGGGGGTTAGCTTGGGGGGGGGTACGCGAGAGAGAGGGTGAGTGGGTGGGTGGGTCGGTTATGTACATTTATTTTGGGTGGGGTGTCGGTTGGTCGGGTAACGGCCTCGTGGAAGTTGTTTGGCGGCGGGTAGTGGTAAGGCGCACAGCACAACACCACTGGACTGACTGACGAAGTGTAATGTGGGTCTTCACTCTCGATCGCGTGGGTATTTCTCCGGCTTGGTTCGTCGTGTGTTGCCCTTGTGTTTGCCGCCGCTTGTAGAAATCATACCGCTGCACTAACTAGGCATTCCCGCTCTCCCTCGTAAACGACGTTGCGTGGGCCCTGAATGCGGGGGCACCTGCGTGCTTTCCCTCACATCTTGGGCCTTCTTGCCAAAATGATGGGACTACTATCGTTGCAAGATTTTTTCGTTAAATTCTTCTGCTGTCAAACAAGAAAGTGCTGCTGGGATCAAAAGTGTGTCCGCATGCACTGGACACTGGATTGAAATGGTGTGTATCCCATCGGTTCATCCTCCCTCTCTCCCTCTGGAGCCAAGTCCGGTTTTTACCCTTTTTTGTCGTGCCAAAAGAAATGCACACCACCCGATAATGTACACGGACCAATGTAATGCAATGTTACGTTTTGTTTTGAATGACACACCCAGTGCGTGATCCGCGTGACGGAGGGAGATCCGGACGAGCAGCCAATGTTTACCCCGGGGGACAAGAAGCGTAACGAGGAGGTATATATGCATACAGTACATGATGGATCACATCGCCAATACCAATGCCAATCGTTAGCCGTGGCAGGTGTGCTGTAGCGTAGTCTAGGCGAGAGGGTTTGGCACTGCCGTAGACTTGAATTGTCCTCCATCTCCTCCATGCTACCCGCAGCAGACTCACGCAGCACTCAGTTCGTTAGGCGACGTAGCAGCAGTACATGCGCGACAGCGGCATTTTTCGCGTGGATTCTTTTGACGGGGAAGGTGGTATTCTCTATCCATCCATCCATCCATCCATCCATCCATCCATCCATCCATCCATAGCTTGCTGGTGCTATGGTGGTATGCGGTATGTTATGGACAGTCTTCGTGGGGCTTACTTATCTAGCCTAGCCTCAACTTTGGGCAAAGGATGGAAAATCGGCGATAATTGTTGTTTCCGTCGGGCCCTGATTGTATCAATAGCAGCTCGACTCTATCTAATGTGCACGAGCTGCCCATATATTCCAGTTCCTTCTACTCGACCGGTGGAGCATTATTGAGTTGGTATTGTTGTGGCCGTTTCAGCGTGTACCGCAATTACCACATGTCATAGAATATGGGTTTCTGTTGCAACATTGTTTCATGCTTTCAATTGAATTTTAGACATTTCCTCCCTTGTGCGTTTTTGGCCTGAAACAAGCAAGAACATCTGTGCCACCAAAAGAGCACCCTGATTATTTTTCCGTTTTCGCGCAGATCCTGAACGAGCTGTTGCTGCCGAAGGGGTATAAGCTTCGGCTGTACTGCCTGCAAGCCCTAAACCTGACCCCCATGGACATCGGCATTGGGGGCAGGCCTGGCAAGTCCGACCCTTACCTCAAGGTCAAGCTGGGCAAGGAGGTGAGGCACAGAGGGAGAGAGAGAGGGAGAGAGAGAAGAGGAGTTACGCAGATGGAGAGGGGTAGAGAGATTTCTCTGCATGTATGCATCGAATTCTCTGCATGTATGCATCGAATGAGACCCAGGGAGAGAGAGGGAGGAAGGAGGCTTTGTTTTCTTGTGGGCGGAGGTGAAATGATTCGTCTACTGAACGGTCGGTGTTGGGTAAGACAGTTGACTTACGACTGGTTAATGGACGTTTTTTTTTTTCGATGGCCCTTATCACGTTAGTCGTGTCACTCAATCGTTTTCCCCCACAGGAGTTTAGCGACGTGGACAACTACATCGATGACGTCACGGACGCCGACCTGTATACGTGTGTAGAGCTCAACTGCGAACTCCCCGGGGCCAGCCAGCTGCAGGTGAGAGATGAGAACAGGGTTGGTTATGTTTTTTCTTCGGCAGGCGTTTTCATTTTTTTCTTGAAAAAATATTTTTCGTGTGATTTCTGTATCTATCTCCCGCTGTACCGTCGCTTATACCCTTGGTTCTCGCTCAAAAGTAGTAAGAGTGCAAAAGTAGTAAGTGTGCATCTTAGCAGGAGACAAGGACAACTCAACACGTATGTGGTGGCCCGTGTTTACTAGAAGACCCAAACAACCACCACCAAAGAAGTATTCTTTTATTTGTTTGCTGTTGCGAGTGCATAGCGCGGCTTGACAATTAAGGTGCCTTTGGTGTGTTTGCCCTGGCTGTTCGTTCGTGTTGTCCAGATCGACGTCATGGATTACGACGACATCGGTGGCGATGAGCTCATCGGGAGGACCGTGATCGACTTGGAGGACCGGTGGTTCGATCAGCGGTGGCAGGTGAGCGGCATCATGCGTGCATGCGCTGCTGCTGCTGTTGTTGTTGTTGTTGTTGTTGTTGTTGCCGTCGTCGTTGTCACCGCTACTGTTACTGTTCATGGCTGTGCGATTTTTTTGTTGCTCTTGGCGTTGCTACCCTTCGCCCACATTCCACCGCACAACGTCGAACGAACCCCCCCCCGCCCCCCCCTGCCACAAACGTTCTACTCTTTTTTTGTCGTCGCATGGGTGCGGCAGTTACTATGCGTTGACGCGGTAGAGGTGTGTACCTGGTGTGTGAACATGTGTGTACCCCTTTGTGGTCCCGACCCCTCCTTTATAAATAGAACGACAGAGACTACGGTGTGCGTGGCCTGATGATGAGCACATGCACAACCTACGTACCCTCGCGTACCAGTCGTGACGATTTTTGTTTGTTTGTGTGTGGGGGGGGGGTTCTTGGGAGTAGGAAATGGGTATGGAGCATCGAGTGGAGGACTTGAACAACCCGGACAAGATGCGGTGGCAGGTCAAGCCGCTCGAGAACCGCAGCCTCTACGTGCCCACAAGGTGAGCTTACAGTCCCGGCCAAAGTTCACTGTTTGTCGTTGTAGCTGTCGTCGTCGGTGTCTTGTGATGTTGTAGTTGTTTTGCATGTGAGGGAGAGAGGAGAGAGGAGAGAGGAGAGAGGAGAGAGGCGTTCGTAGATGAGAAACAAACCAAGATATGGAGCTGTGCGTCCTGTCGTGTGACCCCAAGGTGTTGCGCACCATGGACACCCAACATACAAGTACACCCAATGTCGTCCTTGTGGACAACCTGCATCTATTGCTGTGTGCGATGCCCTGTACTTCCGTGTCTCGATGTTTCCGCATACTGCACAGCAGGCATGAGTCTGAGAGAGCAGCAACGCAAAAACCAGCTCACGGCGGTTTTCGGAAAAGCAGCAGGGCTTTTTTTCATTTTAAGTGTTGATTGTTCTTGTTTTCTTGTTGTGGGTCCAACCAATAGCAATGACACCTGCTGTTTTTGGTCGTTCCCAGTGACCATCCATAATCACACCACAGCACTGAGGCGCGGATCTGTTCCGTGTCTTGTTGCCGCGTGGCGTGATCACCTGTGTAGCAATGCGCCCCAGGGCATGCTGCAGTGCTGGGTGGACATAATGCCACCGGGAGATGCCAAGGGCTTCCCTCCAGCCGATGTCGCCCTACCACCGGACGTGGAGTTCGAGGTAGGACATTTCTTTTTATTGCGACGTTTCATCATTTTTGTCTCTGAAGTTTACCCTGTACATTTTTGTTTTTTGGCACCATTTTTGTTTTTTTCCGACAAAGTGAATCACCTTAATGCATCATCTCCACAACGTCGGACCCGACTACGGTAACGCTCCACACGCGGGGGCTGCCGTCACCGCACATGTTTGTCAGCGTCAGGGCACCATTCGAGCGACACCCCGGATCCGACCAGCCTCGCTGAGCGATGTACTTACTGCCCTTGTTAGCGAAGCCTGTCTTTGTCTCACGCTCAAGTGATAACGGCTGCCAGCTTCCAATGTGTCACGTCCCGTCGCTTCCCAGCCTCCGGCTGGATGGTTCTCTCGAAGAAAGGCGCGCTGCTTTTGTAACCAACCATGTTGGCCAGCACCTGTACCAGCCTTCACGTCCTTCGTATGCTAGTCCAATCCTCTCGTGCGTGCTCTCAAGTGTAGTGTGACGTCCTACGACCACCTCTCATGTCCGGGGCGGAGGGGAGGGGATACGCGAAATGTAGGTATAATTTTCGTGACCGCGGCCTCCGGATAGTTGTGCTGCATACTTTGGTTCCGTCCTCAGCGTTGTACGACAAACGTCAGTGTCTTCCGTTTATAAGGCAACACACGTACGTACAGCACCATGTAGCGACTGGTGTGTACATACACGAGAGGGGGGATAAAGGTCACGACTGCGGTCATGACGTTGTGTTGCCAGCATCACTGTCGTTGGGGTAATGAGTTGGAGCTATTTTATCATGACGAGCACCTGCCACTCTCCTCTGTTCGTTCGTAGCAACTTGCCTTCTTGTGTAGAAGATCCACTCGTCCGTTCGCCCTGTTGCATAATTCTTTTACCTTCTTTTTTTGGGGGGGGGGGTTGCTGCAGGTGCGGCTGGGGATCTGGAAGTGCAAGGACGTGGTGGCGATGGACTTTGCCAGCGGTCTGAACGACCTCTTCGTCAAGTCCTGGCTGGAGGGATGCGACCCACTGGTAAGCCTAACCCACCCTTGTCTGCACGACTTCAGAGATGTACTTGTAGTTTGGTCATGATCAACCCTTACTCGACACACCTGTAGCATTTGTCATGTGTCGTGCAGTCCCCTTGCCCGGAAATGCGATGAAACACTCATGAAATATGCCGTTGCCTGTGCCCCTGTGTGCGCGTACAGCCTGCACAATTAGCAGCATTTCAATGCCTGTCATGCGCGTCAAGCGTATGTAGCGCAGGTTGATCAAGGGGCCACGCAGACCGGGCGCAGATTATGTTGCCGCTGCATCTCTCTCTCTCTATCTCTCTCTCTCTCTATCTCTCTCTCTCTCTCTCTCTCTTTCTCCCTCTCTCTCGCTTGCCACGTCTACTTCACTCGGGAGTTGCCACAACATCGTCTCACACACCATGCTGCTGCTGCCTGCTGCTGCTCCCGAAAGCCTGCTATTCCTTTGTAAGCTTCCGCTGACTTGCCTTCCTTTTTTTTTGTGTCTTCCGCTTGCCAGGAAACGGACACGCACTGGAGAGCCAAGGGAGGGAAGGGCTCCTTCAACTGGCGCATGAAGTTCCGTGTGATGCTTGGCCCAAGGGCCCGAAGCTCCAAGTTCCCGTACCTCACCTTGCAGGCAAGCCCACGTTTTCACTTCTTCTTTGAAGTTCTGCTCAACTCTGTTTTCGCACATATACTTGCGGGCGTGGGAGCGATAGAGGTCCCACCTGCTGCTGCCGTCAGGAAAGCGGTGCCTGACGCCGTTGGTGCGGTGTTGTAGATGATGCTGTCGGAAGACGTTACGTGCGTACGTTTACGTTGGCCAGTGTTGCTGAGGCCGAGGCCCGGAAGGTCGCGGGTCGCCGCACCTCACGCGCTCGAGAAGAAGCAAGGCGTTGTTTTTTGCGGCCTAGTTGGACTAAATACCGGCACCAGCATACAATGTGTACAATCTCGCTTCGTGGATTCCGGCCGTCGTTATTTTTTTTTTCCTACAGAAGCAATGTCTGTCTGCAGATTCAAGTCCAGCATGAAGTCGCGATGTGATTCAATTTGTTCACGTTAGTCTACAGTCAACGACCTTTCTGTACGTCTACTGGTGATCCTCAAGCAACTACAGCAGTGCAGCGATATCTCCCCTGGTGGCAGCGGGCGTCGTCGTGCCCACTTTGCCGCTCGTTGGGTTGTTGGTGTACTACAAGACCTGAGTTGTTGCCTTGCCCTGGGCTAAAAGTTGTAAAAAAACAAAAAAAACGCGTTCGCGTGCTTACCCAGTATTCCAAACTACGGTAACCGCCGGGACTAGGCGATATCTCAAGAGGCTACGGATGCAGAGGTACAGTTTCGTCCGCACATTAAAGACGCCGTCCACGCACAGGAGGCTACCACCGAGGACGAACTAGAAGTATGTGCAGTGACGAAGAGCTGTGTCACTGTACCTACTTTTTTTTTTTTCCTCGGTTGTTGCCTCCTGTGGGCGGATGTCGCCTTTTATGTGATTTCGTCACTGTAATATGTTTTTTTTTTTTTGCATCCGTAGCCGCTGAGATATCGTCTGGTCCAGGCGGCTACTGTTGTTTGGAATACTGGGTAACCACGGAAACCTGTGTTTCTTTCTTGACAACTTTGAGGCCAGGGCAAGAGCACCAAGAGTGAGAGTCGTGCACCAACACCAACACCAATACCAACAACCCAACGGGCGGCAAATACCGGACAACGACCGCCGCCACCGGGACAAGAACATTGAAGTAACGCGGAATATTAACGCAACGACTATGGCAACTACATGTTTAACGACTATTTATCGCGTTGCATAACCTCAAGCGACAACTACATCGACGCCCATGATTTCACCAACGTTAAAACCTCAACCTGGATGACAACGACGACGACGGAGAATAGATGTGGGACAAGGACTTGCTGTGGAACGACTGCATCGCCGAAGGGATACTGGACCTCGGCAAGCACTTCCGACGCGCCTACAAGAAGAAGAACGAGGTGCTGAAGCTGTTCGAGAGCGAGCAGACGGAGAGGGCCAAAGAAGCCATCGTCAAGACCCAGCAGGCGCTCAAGTCGGAGCAGGTGTGTTGCGGTTGCGGGGCATGTTGCTTCGATAGAGGCAGGGGTCGTGCTGTTGTTTGTTCCCTTCTTTGTTTTGAGTGCTTTGTGTATCTTGCGTCACCGCTGATATGTTTCTGTTTGACCGGAGAACCGGTGTTCGGTTTTTAGCCGGATTCGGTCTAAAAACCAGACAGGAACCGGTGCATTACCGATTTATTGCTTGCGCAAGACGGATTAAACGGGTTCACTTGGGTCGCGCTGCTGCTATGCGATTGAGAACATCCATTCATCATAAAGGGCGTGTACCGTACTAAATGGTTGTCATCCAAATCCAGGCGTTGCATCAACTCTGTGATAGGAGTAGAACTAGTATTGAAGTTATGTTCTGCATGATACATTGAAGGCGTTCCTCGGCTGGGTGAAGTGGAGGAACTGTTGTGAAAGTGAAATGCTTGCAATGCTTGCAATGCTTGCAATGCTTGCAATGCTTGCAATGCTTCTCTGGCAGTACGATATCTTCATCAGGCGAAGCGGGTGCGCATCCACTCTTGAGTGGAGTGACGTTGAAGTCTGTGGTTCTTGTCGAATCCCACTAGACATTGCACGTCGGTAGGTGATAGCTGTTAGCATCTCAAGTTGTTTAGCCAAATGCTAACGAAAAATCATGAGAGCGCCTTTGCCAAGGTTGAGACTGGAGGTAAACGCCGTTGAGAGTTGACCCCTTTTTTTGCGTGCTTGGCAACCTATCTGTCGGAAAGTGTTGAAAAAAATGAAACTGGAGGACTTCCAGAGCCGGTTTTCGGTTTCCTATTTGACCGGAGAACTCAGAAGAACGTTATAGTCTGCCGAAGAGAGAATCTTGACCTTGCGACTTCTGGGAACGTTCTGCCTCGGTTTTTCTTCACCCGATCAGACTGGATTGTTAGTGTTGCTTACCTCCGTCGGTCTGTTCGTTCGTGCTAATACAGCAGCATGCCCCTCTATACCCCCCTCCATCGCACGACAACAAGCCTTGTTTGTTTTGGATTGTCTTGACAGTTCTTTTTGCGCCTGTCGGACCCAAGTACCATTATCTTTGTTTGTACCCGTCATCCCACCCCCCCCCTGTCCCCTACCAGGCGACAGCCCTTAAGTATGAGCTCCAAACCGGAATCCCCAACCCACTGCTGGGCGATATCGAGGACGACCTACCCGTCTCTCCCATATCCGCGGACGCTGAGATTGGATCCGGCCGGCCTGGCAACAGGGCGGCCGCAAACGCCGTGGAGGATAGGCGTGGCGACGGCGGCTGGTGCTGTTTCGGTGGGAAGAAGCCCATGACTCAGCTGGAGCTTCGGGCGGAGAACGACCGTCGACGGACTCTGGGAATGCCGCTCCTAGACGAAGAGGAAGGGCTGACGGCGAAGGAGGCCAGGAAGAGAAGAAAGGAGGTGCGACAGACAGGGAGGCGAGCGGGGGGGTGGGGGCGCTGCGGAAATTCTTACCGTTGGGTACCTTGTCGTTTGTTTCGTCTGCGCTGGTGTAGCAGCGGGGAAACGGGACCCTGCCGATGATATCTACGCTTGTGAAGGAAGGGGGACAAGATGGATGTAAGCGCAAGTGTTCGTCCTGACTGCCGTCGACAATAGCCTCCCGCCCCCTCCCCCCGGCGTCATGTCCGAGAGGGCCTAATGCTGCCCATGTATGTGCATGATTGGGACGTGGTGTTGCTGTAATTCCGGGCTCGTCGGTTCATCCACCCGCCATCGAAACCGTTATGCCTAATTGAACCGGAACTTACCGTGATGCGAAAACCCTGTCGGATGGGCAGGAGGGCGACGAGGAAGTGAAGGAGCTGATCCAGAAGCTCAAGGTCATGGCGGGGATAAGCAACGACGACCCGCCGGATTCCCAGTGGATAAGCCTGGAGAAGACCGACCGGAAAACCGGCAAGAAGGTGGTCTTGTGTGCGTGATGTGTGTGCGTCGATGAAGGAGGCGCACTTTTTACAGCGGGCAGGTTAGATTGTGCGGTCCGATATTGGAAGCGCATGTGCCTTCTGTGAAGGTCCCAATGACACAGCCTAATGACCTCGATGATGATCCCTCCGACGGATGGATGTTCTCTGTTGTATGCAAACGCGCTCTACGTCGTCGGCCTCTCTCTCCCCGCTAGCATTTGCGTTCATAACAGTTCTACATCTGTCCCGCTCGATGTGCCTTGTGGTGCCGTACGTGTTGCCCTCCCCCTGTACGGTTTGTTTACGGGACCCCGTCGCGCTGCTTAGACTCCGATGGGGAAATGCCTCATCGGCATCCAGATTTACCCGCTGGACAAGGCCGAGGCGCAGCCGGCAGGGTTGGGCAGGGCCGAGCCCAACGACTCTCCGTTCTTGCCCCCTCCCAATGGACGCCTCCAGTTCGGGTGGAACCCCATCTCCATGATCTCACAGCTGCTGGGGCCCCGGCTGTGCGCCATCCTGTGCTGCTTACTGTGTTGCGGCATCATCATCACGAGCCTGATCGTCTTCCAACCCCTGTGGAATCTCTTGATCGCTGTGGCCTTCTACAATTAGAACCCAAAGGGGTTGAACAACACTCCAACGCCAACAGCAACAGAGAGTTTGCGCCGTTTCCTCATGTGTTTTTATTTCGTCGGCTCCTTGGTCTATTGATATTGACGGTCAGCGTTGCTAGCTATTTTGCCGTCTATGCCGCGGACCTGGGGGACCATGGGTTGGTCTCGGTCGTGAAGCTGTCGGGGAAGGGGCGGAGGACTTTCATGATGGCTGGTTGACTGGTTGTCTTTGCCCATCCGTGTGAAGTATGATAGTTCATCGATTTATGTTGATCGTGGGCGTGGGTGTTGCCGACGCTCAAGACTATGAATTTTAACGAATTTCACGTGTTGCTTCTGCTGCTTGGATTTTTGCTGGCGTAGCGCATGGTACATACTGCTGCAACAACCAGAAACGAACGAATCTATACATGGGAAGTATACCTTCTTTTTTCAGGCGCGACGCCTAGGCGCGACGCCTGCTACGTAAGAAGGGGAGCACTGCCACTTTTTCCGATGGCGGATCAAAGCCCCGCCTTGGTTTTCTGTCAGCCGCAGGCGTTTTTTCGCATGCTGATCAAGGCGGCGTCGCTTGTGTCCGAAGCCGAACGGCTCGTGTGCTTGTTCTATGGTCGTGTGTATGTGGTCTTTGGTCGTCTTTACCGGCAAGGAGGGGCGGCGTAACTTTGGGCGAGGCTGTTTTTAGCTTGGTGCTGCTAGTGTTGGTGGTGCTAGTCGAGTCACCACCAGCGGTGTAGAGTAGCTATATGCAACGCTTTGGTTTGAGGCGGATCGAACGCTTCGTTTTTGGGGCGTTTCTACCCCCCGCACAAGTAAAAATATCGCATCTACTTGGTGTCGAAGGCACCCAGTCTGGTGCGTTTTTTTCCTGAAGGCACCGGGTGAATGTGCTAGATGCCCTCTTTCCTGCATCACCTGTAGATCCTTCGGCGGCCGTCCCCTTCGTCGCTTGACGCGGTTCTCTACTCTAGTGCCCAGAAGAAGAACGAGGACCGCATGGGAGCCTACTCTGGTTGGTATAAGTTCCAACGCTAAGCTCGTCGGCGTTATAAACCAAAATCTCGCTTCCTGCCGGAGTCTTTTTGTGGGTGCAATGTACGCGGGCGGTTCATCTGAACACGTTTACCTTTTCGGCGCAGCAGTACACAGTGGTGTTCCCCGTACTTGCGTATTTTGTTCGGTCATTTGACCGAAGACCAAGGCTGAGCCGGGCGGGATGTAGCGCAACAGGGCGGGAGGTGGAGGGGGCGGGGGGGGGTCCATGAGAGAAAGCATGCCGTAGTAGTCGTTGGCCTACCGTGGGCCTCCCGTTGGGCACGGTGTGCGTTTGTTGTTTGTGTTTAGTGTGTGACGTGTGTGTCTTTCGTTCATTCTCGGTCGGCCCCACTGAAACTGCCGTTGCTTTATCTTACCATACTATACCTGGTCAGTCGTGTTCTGGGATCGGCTTATAATTGTGCACGTCTGGTTTTAGGAAAACTTTTGTTCCGAAAAGCGAAGAGAGAAGGAAACGAAAGGGGGGAAAGCCAAGAGCTTTGGGGCTGCTGCGCGTCATTGTTAGAAGTTGACGTTCGGAAGACTTTTTTTTCTCTTTTTTTTTTTCGTTTGGCCGTCTGCCCGGTTTAATGGGCAATGTATTATACTTGTAGTAAATTTGCGCAATATACAGACATGATACAGGCGAATGTGTTTGAAGCAGAACTAACTAGGTCTAGACTATATACCGGGGCACGGAAGAGGGGGCGGACTTGTAACATATAGTCAATTGAGGGTGGAATCTCGGGGCTGGGGGAGGGGTCGACGGCCGCGACATCTTTGTCTTTTTTTTGCAAAAAGTTGAGAGAGGTGCGGCGGTTTCAAGAGGAGTTTGTTTGGTGTGATGAAGAGGCGAGAGCCTCTTTGTTCAGCCACACTACTGTTTGTGTTGCGCAGGCTAATTATGATTAAAAGACGATTATTTTGGGAGGTTGGTTTGCATTGTAGCTCATGCAGCAGACTGGGCAGGGGGCTCACAGCAACGGGGGCGCGAGTCACGACTCGAGCGAGAGATTGCCAAATTCCGTGTGTGACAGGCCATGTACCCTATGTCATCCCGTGAGCTACACGCAGTGAGTATACTGCTGTGGTCAGTCTAGTTTTTGTCGCAGGGGAAGCGGCAGTGAGTCAAGTGCTCAGGCAACTTGTGCTTTTCTTTTTTTTTAATACGACCCAACGAATCCATCTCTAACGAGGAAAAGAGTCTACGATAGATCAGCGATGAATTCATAGCATCAGAGCTATCTGTATTTCCACGGTTTCCCGAGCAGCACATGTTTTGGTTTGTCTCTGAGAATGGAGTGAACGCTACAAAAAACTTAAAAGTACAGCATCCAGAAGTAGCAAGGGCAAAACTTTCTCAGTACGCCTGCATGTGCCATCCAGTCGCCCGGACATTCAACGCGATGCAGAGTGCTTCATTTGAGCCACCGCTTTCGAGAGCAGTGCATGTTCGGCTGGACCCATGGTCTGCAGTCGCCCCGGTGGTCTAGTTGGTAACCTCGAAACCTTCTAGAGGTCAGGTTAGGGGTGCGAATCCCGGCGTAAGCGAGCTTTTCTTGCAAAGTGAGTTTTTCTCTCGCTTCCGCTCCTGGCCTAGTGGATAGCCGTTAGTTCGTGTGTACACAGAGGGAAGAGAGTGCTGAACTCTTCTCGCATTAAAAATCGCAGGCAAAGTACCGCAGGAGGGGAGGGTAGAGAGGGGCTCTTCTGTGTGACCACGGGTTGGAGTAAACGGCACTAGTGCCGTGAGCGCTGTTTTGAAGAATGGTCTCGTTCGTTGCTTAGTCACGTACATGAGACATGAGTACATGAGGTTGTCGTCTTTGTCATCACAGACATCTGATCATCTCTGGACTTCCAACCTCGCGCACTGTTCTGATTGTTGTTGTTGTTGTCTTCACATTGGTGCAATGCAATTGTTTTGACAGTCTCGCCGGATGGAGATCGCCAGCTTATCTTCGCTCTTTCCTCTTCCTCCCCGCACTGCCCACTGACTACTATGCACGAACGCATCCACGTGTCCGACATGCCCAACAAAGAAACTCACCCGTGCCCTCTGCACTGCGTGGGTTAGATCGATTGCTTCCTCCACTTCGAAAACCCAGTTTGTTGCGTTCTTCGAAGTTATTTGACGACGTTGTTTGTTTCCACGTCGGCAGCAGTCTACAGGATACAGCAAGAGAAAGTGTTGATTCTATGTACGAACCTGTACCTGTAGAATTCCTATCAAAAAGCAACCCGGGCTCGAAGATACATTGTAGCCTAGACGCTTCCTTTCACAGGAGCATTCTCCCAACTCCAAACACAACGTGCTGATGGCTCAACAGGTGATCAGTTCAACCCTCGTTCGATCAGAACTGAAGTTTGTTTGGCGTTTCCAGCTATTGAGCGCTTTGTTCACGCAAGGCACAAGAAGCACTACTGATGAGGTCTACAGATACTCCCCCGATATATAGGCGTGATTTGGATATTCCGAATATAAGCAAGGTTTGCACTATATGCTCCAAAATAGGCCGTTTGGTCATTGTGAGACGTCAAACAACTTCGGCATGTCATCAGATACCACACTGGACAAAAAAAAAAATCGGTCACATAGGGAGGGGATAATCCGTTGTCATCCCCTGGTTGTGAAATCCAGGGAAATCGAGCATATCTGTACCCAGTCACGGGAGAAACGGGGCATCCGTTGCTGACGAATCAAGACCGCACTCAAAAATAAAAAACCGGGCTTATTTTATGACAGTACCGCCCCGCTTGTTGAATTGGGTAGCTCGGACATCAAGTTAGAGTGGGGGGGGGGG